AGTTTGAAAATTGGTCTCATTGAGATGACATTTCATGTTTATCTATTATGAGAATCACGTAAATATTTGACCACTTTTATAACTCTAAGTTTCTTAAAATCCAAGACCACAATCTTCACAACTACTTCTCTCACATGTTACAGCTCACTCAGAGAACAAGCAAGCAACATCTTTTAATGGACATTTTAAAAGCCCCCAAATTCTGAATTTCTTTTCAAGGTTTTTTGAGGATGTGTCTGGGTTATCTGCCCCCACCACTTTTCTTTTCCCTTTTCATCTATTTATTAGAACTAAAACCTTGAATTTGCTTTGATATGGAAGTTAAAGCTGACTCTTATACTGTCTTAAGATAATTAAGACAGTTGAAAAAGTGCTTCTCTAATGAACTTGAAATAGAAATTTAAGTGTTTTTAAAATCAATATTTTTTTTTAGGAAAATACATCTTCAAGAATATTGGGTCCCAGCATGCTGCCTGATTCCATCCATGGATGATGCTTAATCCATTCCTTAATGAAAGTAACTCTTGATAAGTAAGATAAAAGTCAAATGCAATTCTAGTGTTGGAACTTAAAATGATGACATTGATGAATGGATATGTAAATATGTAGCCCTTCTTCACGGCACACGGTATTCGGATAGCTTGGCAATTATTTTGTACTCTAGCCCCGATCTTTACTAGTAAAATTTATTATCAGTATCAAAGGAAACGTTCCTTTCCTTAAACAAGGGTATTAATGGAAATAATTTTAATTATACAACCAGGGTAATTTTTCATGAACTAGTAATTCAAATAATAAGGCAAAAACATGTTTATCATTAGAGTATTGAAAAGTGAAGTTTGGTTTTTGGTTTGTAGAACAAAGCCTGTTTCACACAGAGGCCCTTGTCAAACACCGTACAATGAGTGTGATGTAAACAGAGAGGATCTGGAGAATAAAGAATTAAAACTTCAAATGCATACAAATTAATCTGTGACCATATATCTAGTAAATAGCTCCAAATATATATCTATCTCTTGAATAATAAAAATTTCCTTATCAGATTATCCTGACAATAATCCATTTTGTTGTCATTAGTAGGTTCTCAATGCTGCACCACCTTTTTTGTAATGCTTGAGCCTATTTTTATACCCACTATGTCCACATATATCATCAAACCTCTTCTTTTTTGCTGCCTTCCTACCTGACCAAGCATGCGATCCTTTTCCAGGGACGGGACCTTCCAAAGTACACAAGACAAAGTCTGGTCATCCTTGTTTCCAAGGAGCATTCCGACTGCACTTACTCCGACATAGATTTACTTGTTCTTTTGGCAGTTTAAGATAGTTTCAATACTCTTTGCCAACATATAATTCAAAAGCAACCATTCTTCTTCAGTTTTCTCTGTGACATGTCCAACTTTCATGTGGCATTGAACGTTTGCAAAGCTCTGAATCTAAATGCGTCTGGCTTGGGTCAGACACACTTTAGGCCTCAAAATGACATCTTCGCCCTACAGTACTTTAAAGACATTCTGTGCAGTACATTTGCCCGATGCACTAGGACTTGACTACTGATTCCATGAATACTAACTGTAGATCAAGGCAAGATAAAATATTTTACATCATTCTTTTCTGCATTTATCATGATATTATGTATTGATCCAGTTTTGAGGATTTTGTGTTATTTATCTTGAGTTTACTCCTTATTGAAGGCTGCAATTATTGACTTTCTTCAGCAAGTTCTTCCTCAAGTCTTCCTCAATCCTAATGTTTTTTATTCTTTGTACAGTCCATTTTCTTGGATTATTTGCACAGCATAATGAATGCATAAGGCTTTTGAAAGGCTACAACCTTTCCTGATATTAAACCATGCAGCATTCCCATGTTCTATTCAAAGATTGTCTCTTGATCCATATATAAGTTAGACATGAGCACAGTAAGTGTTCTAGAAATCCCATTCTTCTCAACGGTATCCATAGTTTATTATGATTCACACAGTGAAATGGGTTTGAATAATCAATTAAATTCAAGTAGACATCTTTCTTGTATTCTGTGCATTGAACAAAGATCCACATGATGTCAACAATGAGACCCCTTGTTCCACATCCTTTTCTGAATCCAGCCTGAATTTTTGTCCAGCTCCCTTCAATGTACTGTTGCCACATTGTTGAGTGTTTTTCAGAATTTTTTCACTTGCATATGATAATAATATTACTGTTTGTTAATTTTTGCATTCTATTGGGCCACCTTTCTTTAGAATGGCTACAAATATGGATCTTCGCCAGTTGATTAGCAAGGTATTTGTATTCCAAATTGCTTGGCATAGGTGAGTGTGTGGTTATAGTTCTTCATTAGGTTTTTGAAACATTTCACTTTTTGCCTGTCAATATGTCATACAGTGGTGGCTTGCATGTTACTGTGACGCTGGATGCTAGATTACTTGTATTTCAAATTCCAGTAGGGTCACCCAAGATGGACAGGTTTCAGGAGAGCTTCCAGATGAATACCAGACAATGAAGAAGGAATAAAAGGCCCAATTCTGAGGAATTGGCCGCTGAAAACTTTAGGAAGAGATGAGGAACATTGTCAGACCCTGAAAACTTCCTGACTAATCCATGTCGAACTGGAAAACATCAACAAAGGTGGGGTAATTTTGTCCACAATAGAACTTTATAACCAAAGTACAGGTCTCATATTTATTTTGGTTGGGAGAATACATTAACAAAAAATCACTTTTATGATCTTTCTTTTATAGGACTATATATTTTCATAGGACTAACTGGAAACTGAGGGAGCCCTGGTAACAGAGGGACCAGTCCCTAAACTCCCCCTCAGTGGGAGAAATAGGGAACAGTCTGTCCCTGTCCCGTGGAGGTCATGACCTCAGGGAGGCTGTGAGGCAGGTCGACCTTGTCCTTGAGGGCCAGCATGAGTTAGAAGAGCCTGATGACAATGACTTTGGTTGTTTGGTTAATTGAGAAATGTCTTCCCCCTTTCAAGACAGATTTAGGTTTTTTTAATCCCTTATTTTAAGTTTAAGTAGGTTGTATAAAAATACCCTTTAAAACTATAAAAAAGCCACACATAATTTCAATGGAAAAACATTGACAAAGGCATACTAATCATGTGGATTTCTAGAAAAGTTCACTAGCAATATCTGCGAATTTCATACTTGAATATGGTTTCCAGCCTCACTTTTACAATGAACACATTATTTTAAAATTTTTCTTTGTTTCCTTTATTCATTTAAATCTCTTGATCTTTATTTTGGGACCCCAAATATGTGACTCAAGGAACAAAAACACGATCTCCGTGCTGGTGCTTCTACAGAGTGCACATACATTTGGCTGCAGCGCACCCATCAAGAGTAATGGGACTCTGCCTGCCAATCCCATGCGACCTTTGAAGATTTAAGGCAAGTGTAACTGCCTCTTCTTCTCCCTCTCTGTGAGTGCCCGGAGCTGTGTTGCTGCTTCCCAGATTCCTGCCAAGGTGTTTGTGCTCCTTTCTGTTGGTGTTACTTCCGGGCTCCCTCTTGTTGTGTGACTACTCTCCAATATTGTTCACAATGCTGAGCACGACTCAAACACACACACACAAAAAATACATTTTGAAATGTCAGAATATTAACATTTGTATCCCTTGCTCAGGAAAAATTATACTACAGAGGAAATCCTTTCTGCTTTCCATATGGCAAAATGTAAAGAGTAGCCTTACGCTTGTTAAATGCACTGCTTTTTCTAAGACTCTTTTTGAAGGTGTCACCTCCAAGGAAACGCATGTTTCATAATGTCCACTCTGTATTAAGGTCCGTTTATATCCGCCTATTTGTCCCTGCTCCCCCTCCCCACTTTTCCTTCCCAAATACAGAACCAAGGCAAAACTATAGGAGCCCTGGTGGGGGTAGGGATTAGGTGCCAGAATGCTCTCCCCGAGATTAGGGTTCGAACCTGCCACCTGCTTGGGGGAGGAAGGAGGCAAGGTGATCCTGTCTGCTCCCATACTGACTCACAGCCTTGGGAATCCTATGTAAGGTCACTGTTAATTGGAATAACCTGATGGCAGAGACAGAGTTGGTAACGCGTTGGACTGCAAACCTCAAAGTCAGCAGTTAAAACCCACCCACCACTCTGCTTAAGAGAGGTGAGACTGTCATTCCGGTAAAGATTTACAGCCCTGAAAGCCCCAGAGAGCAGTTCTGATTTGTCTTACAGAGTCGCTGTGAGTCACAATCTATCAACGATTTACACTTGTATACATTGGGGATCAGTAAATTGGTAAACTGGTTTTAATGAAGAAAATCAAATTTAACTAATTAAAATAATGCTTTTTATTATCTTAATTAACACTCAAAACTATCAAGGCAGAGAAAAATATCCAATTATAATAAATTCAGGGACAAAGCTTTGTAATTTACCTTGAAAAATTAAAGAGATACTTGTTACTATAGTCCCTGTATTTTTGGTATGTTTCATAATATGAATAATATAAAGTTGGAATTATAAAATATTATAATACTAGAGTCCTCAGAAAAGGTGATGACTGAGTACTTAACCCTTTACAAGGCTATAAACAAGATCTGTCATACTTTTAAACCAATTATTGGAATATTTTACAATGTCCTAGGATTTATACAAAATTTTAATTTATTACCAAATAGAGGTGTAAGACATTTAGAAAGGTAGAAATACCATTCTGAAATGCATGACCAACTTCCTAGTGACTTGAACAATATCAAGGAATTCCTATTGGAAGCTTTTATAAGCTGAGCTTTCAGTGTGTATATGTGTGTATTTTCAGCTTGACATCACACGCATGTGACACAAAATGACCAAACTTGATGACTGTCGGCAACGTTTTCTGGTTTGCCAATGTTGCTAGGCTGGCAAGAAAAAATATGAAAATATAAGAAATCACAATAACCACAAGGATGTTCCTAGATTTTGTTCCAGGTTTTATGATCTTATTTCCCAGGCAAATAAGGACACGTACAACATTCACAACAACACCAACACTTACCATATTCACTATCATAGAATATAATGAATTTCTGCCAGGCGTACTCGGTGACCACTCTTAGAATGACATCATTCAAGTACACGGGTGGGCGAACAGAGAGCGTGTAGTCATCATTCCTGTTACTCCGGGTGAGGCCACAGCCACTCCTTGGGGTCCCGGCCGTTGAACGCTGGATGAAGAGGTGAGGGATATGCATGGCGTCTGCCAGGGACTGGAGGGATCCGGCTGATGTGCAGCCAATGGAGCTGACAAGGGCCAAGATGCCCTGATTCATAAGTTCACAGGCTGCAAGAAAGCACACAGATATTCAAGTGTCAAAAGGTTTCACATGCTTCTCCTTTATCGGTCGTTGTGAGTACAGCCCATAGGGTTATTATACAAGCCCCATAACTCTATCAATGGAAACTTTCTCCACAAAGAACACCTCAAAGTACAGCGTGCTCCTTGAATTAAATAAATAGCTAAATTTAAAAATTAATAATATATATAATTCTTCCCTTATTAGCTGCCAGCTTTGTGAAAAATATTGAGCTTGTGTTAGTCTCAGTTTCCTCATGTGTGAATCGGATAAAAGAACACCAATATTGCAGGATATCTGCAAAGCTTGCCTTTAATGCAGTATCCCTCACTGGTCTCTCACATTGTAGTCACCTGATTAGAGATAGCTATCATTTTATGATTATCATTGATGATTCAGACAAAAGACACTTCCCAGCCTAGTGTAAAACACATGATTTAAAAAGGAAGGTACTAAGTAAATTGATGAATTGATGAAGGGAAAACTGAAGGGTTGGATATAAAGATTTAGGGTCATAGGAGAGAGTCGTTCTGGTGTCTAGAAATGTTGGCAACATTTTGTCTTTGTCAACAAGCGCGTGACATGAAATTCGGGTATTCCAGAGATGTTTCGTGTTGTTGGTGGATGCTTTCAGAGCAGTGCTGACCACAGCAAGCCTGTGTGCTGTGCACCACAGATGGAAACGACTGAAAGGAAACACTCCCCAGTCATCGCTGCTCACAGTCGCTGTTCTATTGAAGCCCATTGTTGCAGCCAGTGTGTCAACCCTGCTTCTCGGTGGTCTTCCTCTTGATCTACTCTACCAAACACTATGGTTCTAGATAGTGTTGTCAATAGTCAGACTTCATTGTAGGTGTATAATTCTTGAAAAAACTCAAAGAAAACTTATGGTGAGCACCATTATGTAGCAAATTGACCAGTTAAGGGAGGTTGGTTTGTAGTACAGGGCTAAAAGTATAATATTAACAGCATACATATAAATCATCAAATACATTTGTTATGACTAATGCTGAGCCAACCAACATTACAAAATACATTAATCATTACTAGCACATACTTTTGAAGCATTGCTTCATGAGAAATATTATATTGGTTTCAAATATATTTGAAAGAATCGGGCTGAATGCTTCTTTGACTATTACAGATGAAGTTGACATTTCAGTGAAGATCACATGTGGACCCTATTTAGGTCCACAAATGCAGCACTGATAGAATGCAAAATTAATTTATGCTAAATGCCTGTTTGAAGATTGTTTCACTATTATGGTTAAGAAAAATGTCACTGATTGATAAAAACAATAAAAATTTGTTTTTTTAGATTTTGCTTAACATCTTGACTAATTTAGCATTTAACATCAAAATTAAAAAAGGAAAATAAGAAACAGGGATTAACATAGAAAGAGTTGAATTCATTCTTCAGATTATACTAATTATAAGTACTAAGTAATTATAATATTTAGGTCACTTACACAAATGTTGTAAAGTTATGTATATAAATTTAAGTGAAAAATTCCTTATCAATATTAAATTCTGTCAAGGATAGCATTAGATTTAGATCCTTCAGATTTAGAAGGATAAACTATAAAATAAGTTATATATTCATAATGCCTAGGATAAAAATCTTTTCATACATAATCTGTGGTTTTTCCCAATCAACTATGTTATTTTTAATGAATTCTGTTTGGAAGGAATGTCAGCTACATAAATAGTAAAAAGGAAACAATTCTTGACTAAAAGCCATTACTTTTCATTCTCTATCCACTGGGCCTATGAGCTTGGTGTTAGGCTGCTAACCACAAATTTCATTTTTCCAACCCCCCAGCTGCTCGGGTGGAGAATGATGAGACTGATTGTTTCTGTAAAGTTGGAAAGTCTTATAAACTCTATGTAGGGCCACTGTGAGTCAGATTCCACTTTCACAGTGTTTTTGGATGTCTACTATTTGGTATCCACTCTGCTATACATACTTGCAAGAATAATTAAGATTTGTCTACAACTCAAAGAACAAGCAGCCATCTAGCTGAGAGACAATAAAACCCACATGGAAGAAGCACACCAGCCTGTCCCAACTCCATCGCTGAGGACAGAGGGGGTGCATTAGCAAAAGTAGTGAAGAAAGCTGATGGTGCCCGGCTATCAAATGATATAGCATCTGGGGTCTTAAAGGCTTGAAGACAAACAGGCGGCCATCTAGCTAAGAAACAACAAAGCCCACA